TGGACAACTGCGAAGGGCTGCAACAAATGGGTGGCTTGCCATATTTGAGGGTTCCCCTCTTGTGTGTGTCGGGGCATACCCAACTACACTTACTGCACGTGTTCGGCCGAACTTCAGGCCAAAAACGAGGAATAAGGCCCGGACCAACTTCCGTCTGGCTTCATCGTCCAGCCTGAACTTCTTCATGACATCTTCTGCCTGACGAGATGATTCCGAGCTGCAACCAGCGACCCTGGCAGAAAAAGACTTGGCGACTCTTGGATTGACATCCAAGAATCTTTGGTGAAACCTGACCATCTCATGACTGGCATTTTGCCACCCTTCCCAACACAAACGCAAGCACAACAAATTACACTCCCACACATTTACACACACCCAAGCACACCTCCAGTGGTCAAGTTTCGTCTGCCAGGCGCCTTGCCTCACCCATGTCTGGCAGGTCCTCCAGCTTTCCTTCCAGGATCTGCTGGGCGAGGTTCACCGCCTCAAAATGGGCACAGGCGCTCGTAGGATGTCGTAGGGGCGCCCAGAAGGAGCGCCTCCTTTTGTACCCCGCCCTCTGGCAACCGCCGCGCGGCGATTCGCGTGAATCGCCTCTCCGCATCTCTCAGTGCGCAAGGCAAGCCGGTGGCCAAACGAAGAGAAATTGTGCTATCCCAAGATTTTGAGAACCATTGAAATGTCAAGAAGCCAAGAGCCAAGGCCTCGCGCTGGATTTTTGTTTTAAGGTCGCAACGGTCTCGGACTTGTTCTGCGTGTGCTCCAGGATTTTCTCCAGGCGTACGATATCTTGACCTCAAAGACCAAAACCTTTGATTCGCAACTCTGCCGCCTGCCAGGGGCCCTGACTAGAGAGAGGACTTGCACCCTCCCAAGACTTGCAGGTGACCCCTAAGAGACAAGAGACCCCATCTGGTGGTTTCCTTTGAGGACCCCTGGGTTCATTCCCAAAACCCTAGGTCATTCCTTACTGGCAGTGGGAGACAGCAAGAAAAAGGCATCCAAAAGCAAGCAAGCAAGGCTAAGCACATGGCCTCGTGAGTGCCTAAATTTGCCCCCACTAGCATTGGGGAATCAGCCCCTAGCGAGGGGCCCTTGGCAACCATAAAAATTGCCACCAACCGTGTGAGCACTGGATTCAAGGGGTATCTTCCCCATTCCTGGCGATGCTTGAATGGGAAACTGCAGGTTGAAGAGAACGATGGCTGAAAAGAACCGAGGATCAAACCCCCAGAGATCAAGTTGAAAGGGAGCCTGTTGGTGAGAATGCGCATGCATGCACCAGCCTTTCCTCGTGAGAAGGGATCCCTTCAAGAGAGCATCTGCACTTGGAAGGTACCTGAATTGTCCTAGAACAGGGCTGCTGACAAGAAGGGGTGCCGCAAAAAAAAAGGCAATCTGGTCAAAGCATCAGCCAACATGCGCAATTGATCACTTCTTAAGCAGATTCCGTAGCTTCCACTGCCCTGTGGCAAGCACGTCAAAACTGGGTTGGTCTGAGACCCTTGCACACAGTTGTCTTTCGGGCTGGCAAATAGCATCCAACAAAAACAACCCAAGTCTTTGGGTCACTCATTCCAGAAATCATTGCACAAAAATAATATTCTACTCCTTTCCATTACAAGGAGGCAAACTCCGGCCCAAATCCGATTTCAATTGCCTCAAAACTCCTTCCACCCATTTGAAGCTCCCTCTCTCCCCCAAGGACACCAAAACACTTCACCCAGCTCGAGCGAGGCTCGGGCCTTTCTTGGTACCCCTGTTCGACACCATCTGGCGCGCTTGCGGCGAGTGCTTGCGCGAAAACCCCTGCGAATTGAGCGTCATTGGATGGCTCAATCCTGTAGCAGTATAACAGTATAACTATTCCTTTTGTTTTTCAGAGGTCACTGGATTTCCCCTTTAAAAGTTGCAATTCACTGGTGGTTTCCATAGAAACTGCCACTTTTCCAAAAGGGCAATAAAGGAAATGACAAAAAAACAAAACATGTTCACAAGTCTAAAGATCCAACCAAACAGCCAAGCTAGAACCTCCGAAAAGGGAACCCCCCCCTCCCACATATGTCTACTTATTTCTACCGTGGATGCAAGGCTCAGGCCCCAAGAACAACCAGGAGACCTGTCACCCCGAGCCCTAGCAAATGGCGCGGGAAGAAATTTCTGGACTGCCATGCACTGGGGCCGGGACCCCGATGGACTGGGCAGGACAGGGGGTGAGCCATTCGGAGTGCCGAATGGCCGGAAAGCCATAGGGAATGCCAGTCAAACGGGGAAAACGCACTGGGCGTTCCCGTCCTTCCGCGCATGAACGCGCCCTTTGCGCTTGGAAAGCCAAACCAGTGTGGCTCGTCCTGGACCCAGGGCTTCAAACACGTGGGGGTGAGGTGAACAAAGGGTACCATTGACGCACCTCCAACGTACCTTCAACACGAACCCGCAGCAACTAGCCTCCGCTGTCGCGAAAAGCCAAGAAAAAGAGGCTCAAGCGCGCACCTCGTTGAGCTTGCCCTTTGCATCCTCGATGCGATCGGTTGGAGGACTGGCTAAATGATCAAGGGATATCGAGCACTAGAAAACAATATCAGCGCATTTATGCCAGCGAGAGAGGAGACACACTGGTTATCCAAGAACTGAAGGTGGGTCTCACTTGGGCCGGGAAAGTAAAGGGTGATTGCCTGCTTGCTTAAACTGAACATGGATCAAACAGGCAAAACCGAAATGTCATGTTGGCGTGCGATACGTGAGTCGCTTTGCACTAAAAACCCACACATTCTAAGGGTGGGATGGACGCACAAGGAGTGGCTCTTCAGCTGTCTCTGCCTGAGCCCTTCCAGGCTTTCTGACCACCCCCCCCAATAAAAAGGAGATCCCCTTGTATCACCCCACCACCCTTCCCAGCAAATGAAATGGCTGAGGCAAGAAAAGAGAGGGATGAAGCGAGAGAGGCTCACCCAACCGCCTTACGATCGCGGCAACTGGTTCATGGGTGAGCACGCATGATGAAGAGAGAAGAGCAGGGTCATGTCTCCAGGAATTTCAACGCACCTCCCGGGCCCCCCGTTAACAGCGAACTTACGGACCTGGGTTCTTGGAGCATGGGCGCTTGCCCGGGCTCTCAGAACTCCGAAAAGTTCCGCTGGGGTGCTCGATTCCGGAGGCCGTAGCCCGGCCAAAATGTCAAGGGCTTCGGGACCAGAGCGCCAAATCCCGAGGCACTCGGAAAAGTGCCTGTGAAAACCTTCCGGTTTGCTCGCTTGCTCGTTGGGTAAGTGGGCCAGTGGTCCCTGGTTTGCGATCCGTCCCTCAAACCCAGCCAGTCGAAGCACGCAATTCCATGGAAGCTACCCGCAAAGCAAACTGGCTGTGGCTCAAAAAAACGGAACCCAAAATGGAACCCTGATAAGTGGAAACATGGATCAAAACCTGCGTAACCCCTCCTGTTTCATTTTGAGCCACGCCCAACTCTCAACGCCTTGCATGGAAGCACGGAGGGTATTGTTCTCCTTTCAGGGGCCCCGGGGCTTGGGTTCACTTCACTGGGAATTCTGGGATGCGCTCGCGGCACTTAAAAGCGAATGACCACTTTTCCGGGCAACGGCCCTCAGGCGCCAAGAAATTTGGCCTTCAGACTCATGACAGGTGTGGTTGAAAAAAGACAAATTCGAACCACTGCACTGTTTGTTTGAAACAATCTTTGTTGTGTTCTCTTTGAGCAAGTGCAATTGCTTTGGACGAGTCTTTGCGGCCTGTTTTCAGGCTCCAACGGCTCAACCGTCACGAGGGTAAACCAAAAACTGATCTCCGGGCAGGGGCCAAAAGCACCCCTGCTGCCGATTGTCTGAAAGCTTTTCGTTGAGAAAACAGAAGGACCTAATACACATTCTTCGACCCAAAGGTAGTTTAGTCATCTTGAGGCTCCGAGAAACCCCAAACTTGTTCCCGGGCCTGCAAAGCCGGAACAAAGCCGGTTGCTTCCCCAAACAAACCAACAGTTAAATAATATTCTTGGAGTTTTTGATGCATCATCGGACCTGGTTTGTTTCAACCATTCTCGCATATCTCGCACTGAGACCATGGCATGGGTGAGGTTCCACTCGATGGACAAAGCCTCCACCTGCCACAGCTCCCCCTTTTCAGCGCAAAGGAACATGAGCGCTCCAAATGGGAAGCCCTCTTTTCAAATCGTTGTCTCCGGTTGCCTTTGCCCTTCACAATGCCAAGGGCACCTTCAAAGGCGACCTCATGGCCAAATTGAAGGGAGATGTCGTTTTAGGGTGATGTTTTAAGCGAAAACTGGAATCCTAGCAACATGTCACCCCCTTGCTGGCGAACAAGGAACCCGAAATGGGCCCGTTCAGCGAGTGATCCCAAACAGGGGGCACCCTTGCGCCCCTGGTGTAGGTCAAAAAGAGAGAGCCAAAAAGGGTCAGATCCGGCTGGTTCGCTTTGCATCACCAGGGCCAAAGCGCGGATTTCAGGGCCAAGTCGGTGTCAACAAGCCCCCCCTCATGCATGCAAAAAAACAAGAACAAACGGGGGAGTATCCAAAATGCTTGGTTTTTCCTTTTTGGCGATAACAAATCAAAAGGAACCTAGCTAAACGAGTCAAGCAAGGGTCCACTTATTTTGACACACATAATGATACATTGCAAGGCCGTCCTTTTAAAGCTCTTTTTGGAGCTAGATTGACACACCTCCAAAGGACATCACGCCTGCCATGTGTTTTCGTTCTATGCACCAACAAAACCCGCTGATACACTCGCTGCTTCTTTTGCGCCCACGCGCAGCGAAGACTCTCGCAAAACAAATGGTCGGACTGTCGTCGGCTCATGGCCCTCGATCGGCGCCATAAAAAAGCTGGGACCGCTGGGCCCAAGCGGGCAATGGCCAGCGTTGCTGCCAAGGTGCCAAGCTGTGCCACATAAAGAGATGGGTGTTGCGGAAAAAAATGGGATTGGAGCCCCAAGCATCGGTGATGTGGTTTTGGCTTCAAAACATCGTGCAACAGCGACCCGCTCGATTTCGGCTACACCCAAATCTATTCACCGCCATCCTTTAGGCATGGCCACCATTCAAGTAAGGGGAGCCCGTGCGCCGGAGTTTGCACAAAGGCACTTTCTCTTTGACCTGTCCGCTGCATCTCCCTTCGGTCAAGAGCACATCATGCAGGTCGTCCACGATCCGCCTGAGCGCTCAGGCGTTATGGCTTGCCGCAAGCTTGGGCCCCTTGCCTCTTGCAACAAGTTGACATGCAAGAAAATAGCACAAGGGTCAGTCCAGTCTGGCATTTTGTTGCGAAATATGTTTGGCAAAGCTCCAAGAGGACACCTGAACCTTTGTGAGGGCCTGACATTTGGCTAAAACCTATCCTGCATACTCCTGGCACCAGTGAAGCCCAGGCCTACAGATCTTGTGTTAAGATAATGTCCTGCCCAAAAAAAAACATCAGTAGAGTACCCCAAAAAGATGCGGCGAGATATAATCAAAAGCCTGGAAGTGGAGGAACTGCACCTGAAGATGCAATTGGCCCAAACAATTTGGGAAGAAAGTGCCCTCATGAAGTAAACGGAGCGTTGCAAAACTCGAAGACATGCTGATGCCACAGAAAGCATAAATGACCGGTGCCGAAAAAGTGGGTACATCAAGCCCTCTACTAAGTAACACTTTCACGCAACCTTTCGCGATGCTTTCGCCACACGTCTCACTTTCGCAAGCATGTGCTTTTCAAATATCACTTTCGCGGAGCTTTCGCGGCGGGTTCGCTTAACCAGGCCATCTGCAGAGCATAGGCTGCGGACTTACAAGAGGGGCAAACAGGATGTCCGAATCCTTTCGTGGCAGTTGGAGCCTTCGTGGAGCTTTCGCAGAATTTCGGCTGAGCTCAAAAGGCTCTTGACGCTGTCCACAATGAGCGGCACAGCCCGCCCTCACGAGCACAAAACGGGAGCCGAAATCTGCTGCGCAGAAACTACAAACATGCACTTTCGCGACGTTTTTGCGGAGGGCTCTTCTTCAACAACTTTCGCCGCAAGTTTTTGCGGGCTTTCGCGCCCGGCGATCTAGCTTTTGTCAGGCCTCGTTAAGACAGCCCCGCTTTCATGAGGGTTTTGGCGCTGTTCAAATGTACAAAAGAAGGACTCCCACCATAATTGCGTTCCTTTGACTGTGTAGGTTTTATGTTTAATGGGTCTGCTTTGAAAGTGCTGGTTTTCCATAGGGCTTGCAACATCCCCAGCATCACCTGGACCAGGTCGGGCTATGTCGGGCTCTGATTTGGTTGCAGTTGAGACGTGCTAGACCCTGGTTTAGGGTCGGTTTTGCTGGCTTGCATCGTAAAGGACTGATATCAGGCCGCTGTTGGATGGAATTGAGTGGACTTTTGGTGGGTTTGGGGTGGCTTGGGCTGCGGTCTGCTGATGTGCGGCTGGTCTAGTAGTGCTTTAGGGCTGCTTGCGGTTAACCCAACCCAAGACCCGCCCTATGCCTTCTTGAGATTTAAGTAATTAAGTCAGTTAAGCCAGAATCATTTGGGATGCGTCCCCCACCAACCGACCAACCAACTAACTGACCGACACAAACCAAATCGAACCCAACCAACCAACGAACCAACCAGGAAACAGGACCTGAGAAAAAACTAGTAAAACAAACACGTCATCCCTTGTCCCCAGTTCAAAAACCACGCCAAAAGGGGCTGCCCTGATGGACCTCCACAAGGCTGGGCAGGGCGGCAGCATGCCACTTGTGCAAGCTTGCGACAAACAAGCTGGTCCAAATGATTCAGGGGATGCTGCCCCCAGCAACTCATTCGACCAGACCCTGCACCCCTAAGGAGGTGAAACATGCCCAATCCACTTTCACTTGTGCAGTCTTCCCACCAGATGGTGACCTCCCCAATTTCTGGAGTCAGTTTGCGAATAGGAGCTGCCTGTGAGCCACGAAAGCGTGGAAACCATGGAATAAAACTCAAGGGGCTAGGGAGCCCAAATGAGCTCTCATTAAGCCCTTAAAAAGGCTCCCTCCCCCCCACCCCTCGCCCAGCCCCTTGTGATTAAGAGGTTAAGAGTCAGGGCGCTGGATCTGGCCAAGGCAATCGGAATCCATGGAGCTGATCACCCGCACCTTGTCACCCACTCCGAACTCGGGCGCGGGGCCTGAGAGAAAAGAACTTGACTCGGTGCCTTCTTGGGGGGTACCCCCGAAAAAGAGGGGGGGGGGGCTGTGGCAAAGGGAAACAGAACGAAAAAGGAAATGTCCTGTTAAAAGTGGCAAGGGTGCGTTACTAGCTGGTGCTTTGTCGGGAATGGAGGAATGTGGCAGACCTGTCATTGGCCAGCACAGCCCTGCTTGATGAGTTGTGTCTGCGCGGATCTGCTTGTGCAGTAAGCAGCCCAGCTGCCTGCCAGCTGGTTTGGCTACGTTTGTTTTTTTCCGCCCACATACGCGCACGCACGTGCACATCTTGAATTGAAGGTTTGCATGAGTAGGTAGCTTCTCAAAGTGTTGTTGCTGCAGCTGCAGTTGTAGCAACAAGAGTAACGGTGTCACTTGAGTCTTAGGCAATGTTTTGGGCAATAGCGTCTCATAAGATTGCAAGGATTTCATGGTGTTTGGCAATGCTTGGTACGCACTAGTAGGGCCAGTGGGACCATACTTGGGCAATACTTCAATCTAGGAGTCCGCTTGTTTGGGACTTTGCACTCTGGCAAAATGGCAACCCTGACACAAAGGTTTCGTCATACACATGGGTGCACCATGCAACAGTGAACTGAACCATCCTGAAATAACGAAGCCCGAAGTCACGGGTGAGCCATCCCCTTTGGTGTGTTTGCGTGTGTGTGAGAAGCCCTAGTTCATGCGTCTAGTTGCGGGAAACCAGCAGGTTCATAAGGGTCGGAAGCAGTCAGCCCGGGCCACGGCCTCACTAGCACAAATGTGCAGACACCTGTTGCAAAAAATGGACCTGTCTCCAAGTTGTTCACAGCTTGCGCGGGTGTGGATTAACTTGCGGGTGCTCAGGCTGTCAGGGAATGACCCCTATAAACATTCCCCTGGGCCCTGTTTCCTTTTAACAGAGGTTCGTCATTTTTAGGACCCCCCCCCACAAAAACAATGGTTGCTTTCCTTTGGGTTTTCCTTTAAGACCACAAGGCACCAAAATCGATCCTTTCAACCAAAACCTCTGGTGATTTACTGGGAACCAGCTGCGCCCATGCCGCAAAGCATCGCACCAGCTCAAAGGAGACGTTCCTAAGCGAGACCGGGCAAGGATGCGCTCTCTGGGAAGCCAGGATGCGGGTCAGTCTCAAAATGGGGGGGGGTCCTTTTTCAGCCAACCCTTGTTTGGGGTACCCTGGAAAAAAGAAGAAAAAAACATGTGTCAAACCCTTGAGGATAATAGGAGGCGCCCAGGTTTTGAGTGGATCCTTCACTTTTGGCAGCCACGCCTTCCATTTCAAAAGCGCCTAGTGAATCTTGACTCATGCCGTCCCCAGCGAACAGTTTCCTCGTCCCTCGAAAAAATTAGATGCCTCAAACGACCCTGGTGCTTCGATCCAATTGCACCATTCAACAGAACTCTCCTGCAAGGGTCCAGCCTTCCGAAAGGGACTTGCATCTTGGCGAAGCGAAAGTTCAACTTGTTTGCCAGCCGGTGGGAAACTTCACATTGGCCCAACAAGTTAAAGGCTCCATCAGCTGCAAGTGAAAGTATCCCTGTATATATTGCATTCTGGAACTCCCTGTCACAAAAAGCCCATAATTTTGGTTCAGCCACGAGGTTTGATGGCTCAAGTGCTTCAAGTATCTTCAAATTGCATTTTGGAGGCCCACCCCTATGGGTAAACCTGCCGATCCCTTTCACAAACCGGGCCTCAAAAAACTTGTTGTAAGCATTTTAGAACTTGAGAGCCCCCTGCTTCACAGGATCCAAGCAAAGGCCTTATTCAGGTCGTATTTCGGAATACCAGTGACTTTTTCTTTTCCCTCCACAGCATTTCTGATGAGCTTTCCCTGGTAGGCGATGTTCTGTAGGGGAAACATGCTGGCTGCCAAACAGGTGGTGCGCGAATTAACGTTTGTGGGCCATCCACCCCCGGATCCCCCGCCTCTTGAGAAGGCCTTCGCCATGGGAGACGTCGTAGCCCTTCTTCCACTCCGCACAGCCCTTGCCGCGAATCTTCACCACCCGCGCAGGGAGCCACTCCTGGTAGCTCTTGGGCCGCAGGCCACCCGGGACGCCAGAGACCACGTTTTTGGAGGTCTTGGGGGTTGCGGCTCAGGGCCCACCGGAAGGCATCTGGGGAAGGTACCTGGAAGATCTCTCCAGGGACCGTTTTCGTCTTTGCATCAAATTAGGCCAAACAAGGCGTTTCCGGTTGGGTGAGGTCTTGGGGGGTTGGTAGGGTACCTTCATCCCAACCAAAGGGCGGAAAAGCAATAGGTCACAAAATGCTAGCAGTGAGTCATGGTGTGTGTGTGTGTGTGTGGCACCACGTCCTCTTTGATACTTTGATACCTGGTTTCGCGCATGGCGCAAATGATCGTTGGAGCCCTGGACAAGCAGAGGGGCCCAGTCATGTCAAATGACGGCAAATAACGCTTGCAGATGGCCATGCAAACAGGGGACTTCACAACTTCACATTTTACTCTTCTGTAATGAGCATGTAGAACCAAAAGGAGATTCCTTTTACACAGTGCGTGCCTTGGTGAGTGTCATCTTCAAATTCTACAAAAGCAAACAAGTCTGAAATCATTAATTAAGACCTGGTGCCCAAGTGTTGGACTTATATCATGTTTGAGCTCATGAACCCGCGGACTGGTTGATATGGCCCATGAGCCCCGTCCTCTAAGCGCTTCGATCTGAACTCCACACCTCGGGGATTGGCGCGGTTTTGCGCGGATTCTGGTAGGATTCGTTTAAGACGTCCCGAACAATTGTTCAACGAGGCAAACAACTGCAGGAATCCTCAGGCAAGGGACCGTCGTACGGTGAGTTACCTGGAAATTTACCTTGCTTTGCTGTTCCAGGAAGCGGTGCCGGCGTTGGGTCGCGCAGCTTTGCCGCTTGCCTTCGAGCCCTTGCAGGCCACTTTCAGCCCACTGACTGAAGCCTGCAAGCCTGGAGCCTGTTGCGCCCTGGAGATGAAACCTGGAACCCCCAGAGAACCTTGAGCATAGGAATCGAATCTCCTTTGATGGATCCTTCCTGCTGTGGTTCTAGGATTCTTGGTAGCTTTGCAGAAGTGTAGAACAGGAAGGCCCCCAGATCGACTTCGCCCATTTGGAATGACCCTACAAAACGGAATCCCCAGCTTCATTCCCCCAAAAATCGGGGGAAATTCCCTTAAACGGCTAGTACTTGTGAAAATTGGACACCTCCATGTTGCCCGTTTGCTCGTTGCTTGGGTGAACAACTCCTCATCGAATCCCAGCCCCTCAAACCCCAGCCCTGGCAACTTATCTGGGCTGCCCGGCGGTCCCCCAGCTCCGGGCCGGTGAGGCGATGCACCAAAGAGTCCAGCGCCTGCTCCTCCCCCTCCTTGGCCAGCCTCGGCCAGGCCAATGAGGAGGTGATGGCTGTCCAGAGGTCATGAGAGCATCCCAGCCCATCCCTCACCCACCTACTCTTCCACCTCTCTCTCCCTCTCTCTCTCTCTCTCTCTCTCTCTCTATATATATATATATATATCGCCTCCCTTTCAACCTTTTATGGTAGGAACAAAATGGACACCCTTTCTGTTGGCTTGATTCCATCTGACCAGACATGACCAAAGCCCCTCTTTGGACCCCCTCTTTGGACCATCCTTCCGATCCCGAACACAAGAGCGATTGAGAGATCAGGACCCAAAACCCGCCATAATTTGGAAATCCATCACAAGCAAAGGGAGGCCTTGCCAAAGACGCTTCCCAAAGTTAAAACTTCCGCCCGCCCTAAACCCCGTAGCATCCATCCATCCTGCCCGAAACCGCCCATTGTTTAGCCCTAGACGGCCGCACGATCCATTTTATAGGCAAATCGAGGCAGCCAGGGCCAACCAACTGCTGCATGTTTCAACACACCCCTGGCTTCGATCAGGGTACCACAGGCGCCTTGGTTGTTTAAACCATGTTTTGCCTCTCGGCGTCCTCTCGAGTTCGGCGGAAAAGCGGATAACGAACCAATCCACGGCCAACGCACTTCCCGAGCACTTGGGCAAGCTCCGACAGGTCGTCCACCACCTTCCCCTCCACCAAATGACCCTCCGGCAGACACATTTGGTCGGGGTTGGCGCTTACGCCGCTTGAGTGGCTAAACGCTTACACCAAGCTGAAAGTAGCTGGCTCGTGCCAGCTTTCACCCTCTGGTCTAGTATGCTAGTATCGTGCGATAGTGATGTTTTGACAGAAAGGGTTGATGGAAGAAAACCCTTTCACACAAAACCACCTGCTTGATGAGCAGGTAGGAATCAAGTCCCCCCCCCTCCAAGAAACAAAAGGAGACTCCCAGTCCCATGGATTCCTTCAAGAATGCCTCCACAACGGCGCTTGTTTGGGTGCGATCCGGCCTCGGGAAGTAACAAACGAGCCAGGCTTTAAGGCTTTGCCAGTCGAGTGCCCAAACAATCAATTGGGAAGTGCAAGTGGGGAGAAATTCTATGAGACATGGTCTGCAATTGGCTTTGCCCTCCCACAATTGGCTTGCCCTCCCACACTCCCTGGGACACTCCCCAGATTCATCAAACATTCGGAGCAACATTGGGCCCACTGGCTGGGGAAACGCCAAAGGACTCCCAACCCAGTTGCAGCACCCTTGCCCATCTTGGGAAAAATCCACATGGAGGGATCCTGTCCTGGGTCCAGAGGGAAGCCAGCGCCCCAAAATGAATCTGCAGAACCACTCGCAATATTCAACCATTCTCACCATTCCACTCAGCCGGTCCTTGGCCAGCATCTCCTGAAAGCAGCCAGGCAGTGGGTGGCCCCACGTCCGCGCCAAAGGCCCCAACCGCCTCACTGGGAACGTTTTGCCTAGCCTCTGCTTGGCTACGCCGGAGGTCACAAGGCCCCCCCAGGCACCAAAGAAGAAACACCGGGTTGGGTGACCCCAGGTGGATTCTAAGACAAGGGCTCCTTTCGGATGCCTCACACATGATCGTCCTTTGGTGCAAGCGATTGGGCCAGTTTGCTGGAGCCGTCCAGTTGGACCACTGTAAGCGGGCAATTCCTGAAAAAAGGACCAAGGGTGCCATGTGGTTGGCTCGCCATACAGAATCCGAAACGGAGTTGGACAGGGTTCCGTGCAAGGAAACATGTTGGCCATATTGAAACCCACCTTTGCCAGCTTGCCCGCATCTGCCAGGTGATTGTTAGGAGCAATCTTCGAGGAACCCGTCTGGAGCACTGTAAACGAGAATACCAGCCTGAAAAGGCAGGGTTCTGTCTTGAGTCTTGATTGGTCGGGCCACCTGGGTTGGAAAAGCCCAACCTGTCTCATTGTCAAAACCACCCTTCTGCTTGAGTTTGTAGAGGGATGTCCATGCTGGATCGCTTGGACAAAACAAGAAGATTTGCATAGAACGACCACCCCCTGGCCCTCTGCAGCTTAACATCGCACCCCAAAAAACGTCGAGGAATCTCCGTAGAGCCGATGTGGCTTTCGGTCGTCTGGCAAGGCAGCTACCCCTACCATGAAAGCTCGAACTGAGGGCCAAAATGGATCTTTCATGATGGCCAATCTCCCCTTTCAAGGACTCCTGCAAAATTTGCAGCAGCTAGGTTTCTTTATTAGGTTCCTTTTTGTTAGGTACCTTTAGGTTCCTGTTTGTTAGGTTCCAGGACTCTTCGTCTCACCCACAGCGCCGCCTCAGCAGCTCCGCGCGGAGCGGCCGGCGCTCGACTCCTCGACCCGCGGCGCCCGAGGCGGCGCCGGCGCTGGCAGTGGAGCTGGCGCTGGCCGAGTGAGCGCTGGCGGCCCAGCGCAGGCGGGTCACCTTCAGCACCTCCCAAGCGCAGCCAAAGAATTCAGCACCTCCCAATTAACAGCCGGAACCTGACGTTTGGGGGGTCCTGGTTTGGACCATTGCCGAACGTCAGGTTCCATGTTAATTGACTGGGGGGAGGGTAACTCACGAGTAAGATGAATCCCCCAGAATCAAAGCAGCCCTCACTTGAAAGGCGTGATGCAATATTTGGTATTGATACATCGGTGGACCCGACCCGCGCCGCCGATTTGCCCAGCCGGGCTTACTGGTTTGAACCCCTCCCCCGAGCAAACAGAGCGGCATAAAGGAGAATCTAGCGTGGGCTTCCGGATTGTAGTCAAGGTGCGAACAGCCAAAGACATGTCATTCAACTTCCTCCCTTTGTAGAATATATTTCTCTCTCTCTCTCTCTCTGCCGTTGCGTCCAGAGGGTCTTGACTGAGCAAGGCAACCCCTTTGAGAATGGCTAGCATCATAAGTTGCAACAAGAGGTGCTGCGGACTCAAAAAATGGCGGACCCCTTGGGCTTGGCTTCTTTTAAGGGTGGCCACGATGAAAACCCTATTTTCAACCAATTCAGATGCGATTTGAGACAGCCCCCCCCCCGTAGTTAGTTCCAGATTCCGCGTGCAGGGACGACCCTCGTTTCCTGTTAGTTCTGTCTACCCTCCCCAAATTCCATGGAATTGCCCGGGCCCAGGGCACCAGAGGTATGCATCACACAAACCCCGTCACATGCATTCCCACCGCGCACCCCCCCCCCCCCACCCGGCCAGGGCCTTCTTTGGCCGCAAGGCCTTGAGCCACTGCAACACCGGGCCGTCGAAGAACTTCTGCGGGCCGTCCCTCTCTGCCAGGGCCAGGAGGGCCACCTCCGAACGTAGCGGCTGTTGGCACCCCCACCTTCCATACCCCCGAATCGAAATCCGGGGGGCAAGCACCAAGCGGTCTGCCGGAAATCTTTGAACCTGGCAAGCCCGAGGCGGCCAGTTCAAAAAGGTTGCAATCAGCCCGTCCGCAGCAAACATGGTGATGATTGAAACCACCCTTTGATTGGGGCAATGAATCACGAAAAGAACACCACCAGTTCAAGAGGAAAACTGATCAACAGGCAGGTGGCAAAAATCAACGCTGTTGCCTGAACATCTTTATCAAGTCGTCCGTAGCTTCATCCAGGACAAGAAGAATGGCCCCGTTAAATACAAACACTTGCTTTGCCAACGCCTCAGTCCTCAGTACTTAGCTTAGAATATGCCATGTCTAAATCAATACGATGGCCTATACTAAACGGGCACTTTCCCGCTCCGAACCCAAATGTTGTCGTATTGGGGGACCATTTCCAAAAAAATGCGAAACGACTACTAAACCAGCAGCCAAAGTATCAAAGCAAGTCGACACTCGCAGAATCCCGGAAATGACAACGACTCTCTGGGCCCGGAGAGCAGGACTTCCACCTGCACAAGTGTCCGAGAGGACCGAAAAGGGCCGACCTATGCCATACCAAGCGCGGGCCCAAGCGCCTCGTTTTTGAAATCACAACTTATGGTCCTCATGTTGGGGCTGAGGTGAAGGGATCCTCCAAATGAGAAAGGGCACTACTGTGTGGTTGACGTCCGTTTTCCCTTTGTTTCACGGAAGAATTTGCTTCCAAGAAGCCCCAACGGACAAAATGGTGATGATGTTTCAAGCCACCCAAAAAGTATGCTTCCTTAAAAGGTGTCAAAAGCTACCCCTGGAAGGGGTCGACTATTGTCAAAATCCTACGAAAAACAGGGAAACTTCGCGCGGACTGCACAGCAGGGTTCACATGACTCAGGGGACGTGGACCCCTCCGTGCCATTCAGCCCAACTTTCCAGACCTCCCAGCGGCCATTGGAAATTCAACAAGGGCAGCTTCTCTTGGCAGGCTTCCAAGGTCTTCCCCCCTCCTCCCCCCAAAAAATAGGAAAAAGAAGAAGAAAAAACATAGAAAGGGCACCACTCGAGGGCTGGGTGCTTAGCCCTCCTGGACCCCTCAGCTCTCAGAGGCCTGGTGGTACTCAGGGCTTCGCTGCTCCAACATCTCGTTGAAGGAGAACTCAAAGGTCAACTGCCCGACGGTCACCTTACAAACATGCACAGGCGGAGACAAGTCGGTGTCTGTGTTTGTTTGTTTTTTGGGGGGGGACCGCGTGGATGGTTCTAAGCACACACCAACCAACAGCTTTCTTGTGTGTGTGCTTTGAATTATGTCTTCTTCTTATTTCTCTATTGTTTTGAAGTTGTTTGCTTGAAAATGGATGGTTTGTCTGCTTGAAAGTAGATGGAGTCCACGGGTTTCGATTTGGATCCAATCATTCACCCCAGTGGTATCCATTTCGTTCAAAAGGGCACCGGCCCCGATGAAGTGCAGTCAAGCCTGGACCTGCCAATGGCAAATCAAAACTACCCAATGGCCCAAACAAGGACCACCAGGGTATCATCATTTCTTGGGCCCCCTTTTAAGAAAACCTCCCTCGAACATGCTGGTGAAGACAGCTATGGGGTCTTCCATCGGCAATCCAGGTTGGAAAGGTTCCGAGTGGGTTCCAAGGAGCTTCCAAAGAGCTGTGCTTCTGTGATTCAGAGCCGACTTGTTTCAGGTTGCCCTTAGTTGGCGGTGATCGGGGTTTGGGGATTTCAACCTCTGGCTTAGCGGGTAAATGGGAAATCGCACCTATCCTATCCAAACCACCTCCAAACCAACTCCAAACCGCCAATCTTCCATACTAAGGGCAACTGGGAACCAATCCAAGCCACTCTTTTCGAGGGAAGAGGATTGTTGGTTTGCTTTGTGGCTGTTTACATCCTCTTCTTGGCTTCAGTGCGCCGATGTAGCCTTGCGCCTAACGGCCTATGGGCGGCCAATGCGCGTTCCGTTTGGAAGGTTTTGGGCGTTTTGGGGCGGAGCCTTGGTTTCTTTGGCCGAGCCAGGATTCAACCTGCAGATTTGCATGGGAGCGTTCTCTCAAAAAGTGGATGGACAGATTTTCCGCTTTGGGCCGGAATTGGGAATGTGCTCAGCACATTCATTGCCCCATATCCTCCCTTCTCAGGGATAGATAGCCCCCAAAAGGCGGTTTTGCGGAGCTGAAGACCTATGCTGCGGGCCGGGTTTTCCACTTTTTTGGCCTCCCCTCCAACCACCCCCCCTAAGGGCGCGCCAAAACTAAACACCCGTGCCCCGCCTGCACGGTGTGGCGCAAGTACCGCATGGCGCTTTCCTAAGTCTAGTGGATTTCCATTGCCGAAAAGTAATTCGCCCTTTTTGCGGTTGATTTAAAGGGGAACAGGGAAAACCCTTCAAAATCAATAGGAAGAAGGTATCATTCGTGTGGCCGTTGACGTTGAGGAAGCTCATCCCAACAACAGATTCACAAAGACTGGCTGAGTTTCTCTGGAGGCGTGGAACCTCCGCATCAACAGCTTGATCAGCGTCGCGCCGTCCTGGATCAAAATGCCGATCGAAGCCCCCAGTTTGAGGGAACCATATAGGCAGTGTCTGAGAAAACCGACGTGTACGGAAAAACACTGACCCCCCCTGCGGATTCTGGGAGCTAAATGGGGGGTCTGGGCAGTGTGTGTCTCTGTGTGGTGTATATTATGTTGTCTTGGCTTACATGACCCTGCAAAGTTGTGGCAAGATTCGGTAGTCCCAATTGCAACCCAAACGGGATCCACCAAATCTTGCACTCATTGTAGCACTCTTTTAGCACTCTTGTACCCCTTTGGGACTTTGCAGGGAAGAATTCACAGGCAAATGGTCTTCCCAAAAAGTTCAAACTCCAGGAACTCGGGAAGTGAGTTTCCTAAGAGGAAATCATAATAAAGAAAGAAACAAAAGGGGGACTCCAAACACATGGCTGTGGGTCAAAACCAGTGGTACCATTTGGGGTAGGTGCACCACCCATTTTAGAACCTATTTTAGTGGTTGGATTGGGATGTTCACTGGGGGCTAACCGATTTGGATTTTGAGCCATGGCCACATGTTCCTACAAACACAAGGGGAAATAACAACTACACACACACAAGGGGGACTCCAAAGACATGTTCAAGCAACTCGTTCAAGCAAGTGCCTCCTTCCCCTTCAGCGTCTTCAGCTGCAGCTCCAGGTAGCCCTTCCCGTACAAGGGCACCACCGGCAGGGCCTCGTGCCCGAAGCTGCGCCGCGGCGCCTCACAAGGCGAAGATGGGCGGTGGCAGGCGGTTTTTGGGACCAGGGGGCGGGATGAATTTGGTGTTCTTGTTGGAATCAGCCACGAATTCCCTGTGGCTGTGGTTGTTTATGGAAGCCCAACAAATTTCTTACTCAAACCCAGAGCTGGCAAAGTATTTGGGTGGAGTTGGTGGGATGGGGTGCCCAGGTGCAGCCAGTGACCCGACAGGTAGAAAAGAATTGGAACCTTTTGAGGGAAGGGTTGATGCCACTTTTGGTGGGTCGCCATGAAACCAAGCAAAAAGGATTTCAAGGGTGTCACTGGGGGTGGCAAAGATGTGGGTGAAGGGGGTGCAGAGTCTTCCCGTCTCCACCGTAGTCGTCCTGTTCCCGGAGTCTGCAAACAAGTCCGATGGCACCCTGACAAAGGACACCCTTTCTCGCTTGATTTGACTTTAGAGCAACCAGCAAAGTGGCGCAGCATCCTCTAGTTTCAACTTGGAGGGTCTAAAGTTTCGCCTTCCCCTCGGTATACGTCACTTCCCCAGAAGGATTAGGGGCAATGAGTACTCCCGACTCCCGGCTCCCTACACTTGTTCCGCCTGGTTCCAGGGTATCGGCCGGAGGGGAAGCCATGGAGCCCCCCTTACAAGAAGCCCCTGATCAAGGAGGAGGTGATTGTAACAATGGCTGTTCAAACCACACCCCTCCGTTTGCAAGCGCCACTTTGGCCCTTGAAAAAGGAAGAACACGCCAAACCAAGCCCCTTTCCAAAAGGTGATGTGTCCAGACCACCTGTGTTGTGGGGAATCAAAAACCACCCACATGTTCCCTGCTCAGTGACCCAGATGAAAAACGGGCCCTTGGGTTGAATCCATGCAAAGGGCACCACCTGTGTGTCGGCTTTCTGTTGGGAGGCTACCCCCCCCCCCCCTTTCCGGCTTTTTTTTGGGGCTACCCCCCCCCCCTTTCGTGCTTCTTTTTTTTTGAGGGGGGGTTGGGGGGGGGAAGTCAAAGAAGACCACCCATAGCAAAGGGGGCCTGCCCGTTCCACTGCCCAATTGTTTTCCGTTGATGCCGGTTTCACCGCCTTGGAGTCACCGCCCAGGATCGCCCCGAGCGCCGCCTCAAGCTGTGCCGGTAGGACACATTAGCTTGGTTACAGTGTTCTGCTTTTTGACTCCTACCCTTTGAGGACTCCTGGCAAAACGGGGGCTAGGTGGAGTGGATGAAGTAAAGCGGAGCGGGGGAGGGGGGGGGGGGGCAAAAACTCACAAAATGGGAGGGCTGACAAGAGAACAACATGGAGGGCATAAAGGGGGGGGGGGGGGCAAAGGTCATGTAGACTGGGTGAAGAACAAAGGGAGTAAACATATGACATGTACTCGCTTGCGAATTTGCCTTTGACAAGATGACGCATTTTGGCTGGGGGTATGGAGCAACTTGGCAATGCGACGTCTTCACGGTTCCCAAGGCACAACTGTGGCCAGGTTTCAGCAGCCCTGCCCGCTTGGAAGCTGGACTTCAAGGTCAAAGGGCTGAGCATGGCTGCGAAATTGGGAAATTCAGACAGCCATGTTTGCTTTTTTCTTCCCGAGTTTTAGGTATTTCAGATCCAAGGGCCGGCTGCTTTGGACTGATAACCCTGGCTGTGAGCTAAGCTCACCAGGGCTGGTGTGCGTGGGTCAAGGGGCACTCTCCATTGGCTGCTGCGCCAAGAGATGGGGTGTGCAGTGCGTGCACGATCGTTTGTCAAGGTCTTTCTTGTCTGTGGCGCCATGGCCAAATTGGCACGGTAAGCCTGTTGCGAGGCAACGGCGCAGCAGGCTGCGCATGCCTCTTATATAGCAAAGCAGGCCACAACAGTGACCAATCGGGACCCAGGATCGGTGAACCCCTGATTCCTTGCGGAGGTCGGCCGGTTTAGGAGGGGAGCTTCACTTATGAATCTGCTGGGTTGCTGCTCCGGGGTCAGCACGAGTAGAGGGCACCAAGCACCATCTTCCGGGCCAAACCTCCCAATGGCTGCCCCGACTCAGCTTTGAGTGCGATCAAAATTCCGTCAAGCCTTCCGGTACCAGCGGCGCCAACCATATGGTGTGGTAGTCATATCCCGTTTGTGCCAGGGGCGCTCCCTGTCGATGAAGAGGTAACTTCCCCACTCTTTGGGGCCGTTTCAGGAAAGCAATCAAAACCAAACAAATGGCCGGTGTCTGAAAGAATAGTTGCAAAGAATCTCAGGGGTATCAACCCAATATAAAAGACGGCAAACCGTACTTTCAACATGTCAAACATCCATCCCCTTCCCACCCCACGTCCCAACCCACTCTGAGCGTCCACATCGAAGCCCACTGGGAAGTCTGTGGCGTCCGTCCGCGGGCAGCTGATCAACCCGGCTTGGTAGAGCTCCTGCAGTCTGGGAGAGGTCATGGAATTGGGCTCCAACATGCTCCAAACATGTAACTTTTCCCAATTGGACCCGTCTGGTCGATGGGCAACCCCAAACCCACAATTTGAGAACGATTCTCTGTGTTCATCTCACTTCCTGAGTGGATTGGCCGAGAGGCTCAAACTTGTTATTTGCCACTAAAACGGTCCAAACCCCGAAAGTGACTCACGTCCATGAGCTTAGGAAGTGAGCCATCCAAATTTCGGTCGGCGAAAACCGGGTCTCCCCGGCCCAGGTCCACACGCGGACTCGCCCTCCCAGACCCCCAGTGCCGCTTTTTCTTTCTTTTTCTTTCTTTTTTTTGGGGGGGGACCGAGGAAAAGCGGAGTGGCATCCCAAACTGTCAAATCCACCGCAAACTCCAAGCATTTGACCCACCAAAAAAAATTGGAGGGGACTGATTCTTTTTTCTTCCTGACAGGCAGTGGCAGGGGACTGAGGGGGGCCTCCCTTTTTGGACCAGCATCCAAATGTTGGAACTTCACTTGTTTTCGCCACGGATGTCCTGACGGGGCGGATGGTATCTTGTGCAATGGTCAAATCCAACCATAGCCAACAGAAAGCTGAACTGGGACTTCCTAAAACTGGTTGGATCCCATAACCTCCCCAAACCCACCTGCTGGTTTGGGGGGCTTCTCCATCAGGTGATTTTCTATATAACTGCCCCAAATGCATCATTTTTTCGAAACCAGTAGGAAATGATCTAAGGGGTTCGTTAGTGCCCACCAAAACCAGGGTTTTTGGACAACTTCCCGCAGAATTCCCTCTGCAACTCTCTCCACCCCCCCCCCCCAAAAAAAAAACAAAAAACGCCGTTTTTGCAGAAACCCCCCCTCCTTTTGGTCCGAGCCTCCCCTGCAGATGATGGCTAAAAAATATGCAGGTTCTCCGGTGGGTCTCCTTTCCAGAGACCATACCCATCCGTCTCCGACGCCCTCGCCTCGCCTCGGCCGCCCGCCAGGCGCGCGTCGGGTCCCAGTCCAGCTCCTCGCTCGCTGCCGCCAGCAGCCCCGCGGCGTCCAGCAGCTTCGGCGCCGCGGAGAGCTCCTGCGGCGCGCGACTGGAGCTGGGCGCGACTGGAGCTGGAAGCTGGGGGCGAGGAGGGCTTCGCGCGAAAGCCGGGGGCGAAAGGAACGGCCCCGAGAAATGGACGTGAAACCCAAAAAGTAGGAGCGCACCCCTCCCCCACAAATAGATTCCTCTATAAATCTGTGGGGGTTCCATGTTTGTCCAGGGAGAAACTGGGTGAGCCTGCCAACCAGAGCTGACAGTAACTTTTGGCTGGCCGAAAGATAAGGAACCGAACAGCAAAAAGTGACAACCGGCAAGCTTGGTCTAGTAACGAGTTTGCCCAAAAGAAATGGTGGTTTGAGGGGGTGGCGGCTGCCACATGACCTCAACAACCAGGGATTCAGCCCGCTTCGGTCCTGACCACGCCCCCTCGAAACCAACCGGCAAGAGAAGAACACAACAACTTCCGCACATGGACAATCAAACACACGCCCATATCGATATCATTTGGGCAATTGCGGGCATCCCGAAAATACGAAGCGGCCCATCGAAGGGTTACCAGAAACCTTACGATTAGGAACGGGATCTCCTTTTGGGTTCTTCTGGGGGCCACAGGGATCTCGTATGCCCTTACCGTCCTCTTGAGTGCTGCCTTGGCAGCCAGTTTGGGCGTTCCCTAATTTTGAGACACCCAGGACGCAAAGTGTGGCCGTCAAATTTGAGAGGGGGGTCTTCACTTTTGCGGAAGATTCCCCGGGAGAAAAAAAAAAACGGTTGACTCATCCGAGGTCAAAATCTCACGGTTTCTACTTGTGGTTTGGCGATTCTTCTCGGGAGCTTTGCGGGAGCCTATTGGGTCATCTCCTGAGCTTGCTCTGACAGAGCCCGTCCGAGCTTCGGAGCGACCCATGTTCCGACGAGCGCCTGTGCTTGGTGTCTACTACCCACTGCCCAAGACGTTGAACCTGTTCAAAGTCAGCGGGGAAATAAGTATCACAGTACTTTTTACCCGAATAAAGGTTTAAAGGTGAAAGATCCAATAAAATGGCACTGCAGCCGATGCAGCTTTGTGGCATTCTCCGGTCGATATGTTGGTCTTGATCGGGCCGAGCGCAACCCTTCTGTCCTCCTGGCTCACTTTTTGGACCACGCAGAGGCTCTTTTCCAGCGTGTCCGGGCCTGAGACGTGTCACTTCCCCACGCACCTCACCTTTAACCCTCACCGGGGTGGGGGCGGGGGGGCCGAAAACGAGCCAAGAAAGCATAGGTTCTTGAGAGGACAACTGGAAAATAGACGTCAAGACAGTCCACCCATGGCGCTGCCTCGGCAGATCAGCAGGCCAATTCTTGCGGGGAACCGCCTGCCCAATGTTTGAGCCGCGGGGGTCCTGGGCTTGATGGAATCGGTGCCACGCGTAGGGCAAACGATGGACGGATCCCAAAGGCCGAAGCCACCCCCACCTCTTTGCAGCGCATCTTTGGAGGACGGGCGATGGCAGTGGCCGTGCTAAGTCACATCATCCAAAGTGTGCTCGCGTTGCCAGGACCAAAGCGGGAAAACGCTGCTTGCACGTTTGAAGACCACCTCTGAACCAAGCTCAACTTGAAGTGAGCACACCAAAAGAAAGGAGAGCTGCCGATTGAACTCTTTCAAACCAGGATTGCTGACCTTGAATTACTTGAGAATCTAAGACGGTTTCGGCTCGACGCTTCCACTCCGGCTGATTGATCATTGCCACGCATCCAATCATTTATACTCCAGCCAATCCTCCAATGAAGAGATGAATGAGGAGAGGGGGAAAAGAGGAAGAGACCATTGTTGCTACAGCAAAAACGCCTCTCATGGTTTGTCCACTTCTTCTTGCAACTGAGTAACTGCAATTGTCCCGGTCACCCTGAAAAAAGAGAAAAGGTTTGCGGCCTGCCGTGGCACGAAGGCGGATCAGTTTGCAAAGCCCCCCCCCGTCCCCACAAAAATGGTTGCGTGAAAATATCCCGCAAGGATAGATTCCACGGTTTACAAAACTTGGGACCCCAAAATGGTGGCTTTCGTCTTCATGTTCCCTTTAACCTGCTCAGGGTACCCTCAACAGAAAGAAGCACCGGCGCTTCACACGCATCCGCGCGGCACGTTTCGGCGCCGGCCGCCTGTCGCGCCTTTTCAGCCGAGGCTCTGCCCTCCACAAGCTGCCACTCCAGCTCCTCTGTCTGGCCAGACATCTGCCTCAGGGCAGTTGTTGAGTTGATTTAGGGTTGGTTTAGGTTGGTTCAGGTGGGCCCCGGGTGTGGAGGGTTGGTTTACGTGGGATGCTGCAGGCTTAGCCATAGCCCCCAGAAGAATCAAAGCTTTCGAAGGTTCGTAAGAACAATGATTGAGAGGTCAGTGCACCGAGCGCTACAAAGACCTAGCTGTTGATCTGCAGCAAGGTTCAAAGGGTCAAGGCCGACATTTGAAACCTTGACACGGAGCAACCATATCTGTAATAACAAGAACTATGGATATGACCTGGTGATGGCAATTGTATCGCGTCGTTCTTCCACCTGCATCTGGTCCTTTTGGGCCACTGTCCTGATTGGAAGCGCTTTGTTTATTCCACTTTCGTCTGGGACACGTGGTTCCTTGATGCTGTCCACTTTCTACTGTCTCTGGACACGTGGTTCCGTGTCGTTTTTGTCCCACTTTCCTTCTGGAACACGTCTCTTCATGCGTTTCCAGTGTTTCGGAAGTGCTTGCTTTTAGGGTTGGTGTTTGAAGGGAGCCCCCCCTCAAGAACAACCGAAGAAACAGGGCCTGTCCCACTCGTAGGATTCGGATGGTGTGGAAGTTGTCCTCTGGAACCAAATCTACGGCGCCCCCAAACGTGATCCGGATTCCCTCAATGTCCGCCGGCAGGCCCAAATCCGATGGTTTTCGAGTAGATCCCCCAGCCTCATAGGATATATGATACAGAGCTTCCTCAACTTCCCTTTTTTGGACCTCGAACAGTGGTGCAGTTTCATGGAACCCACCTGGTAAACTGCGACTTAAGGGAAATCCTGTGAGCCCTGCCGTAGTGGGTGCACAAAGTCCGGCACCAGTTGGGATGGATGACCCCCCCTAAATACTGGGATGCACCACCTGCAAACCCCGGTGCTTTGCCCAGATCTGGTGTGCGCAGAACTCAATCTGTCCTGACTCTGTTCCATATTTAGCCTCTAATGAATTATCCTGAGATCCGTTCCACATACAGCCGAAAATATATCTTGGTCCCAGGAGACCCTAGAGGTTGCAAACACAGGGGCTTCTGAAATACAAAGGTCTATAGAATAGAAAGGCTCATAAATCCATACTGTGGATGGACGAAATCCTGCACAACCTAAGAAACCATGAGAAACCACTGTTCGTTGGTATTTACAGTGAATCAGACCATTCCAGGGCTTCTTGGGTGGTGCAAAAACACACACACACACACACACACACACACACACACACACAATCGCCTTAGGTCCGTTCCAGGCTTTAGCCTAGACATTCCACCCCCCCCCCCCCCAAAAAAAAAAAAAAGAGGAACAAAACAAGGTCTTGGATCCCAAAGGTTCCTTTGTAAACCCCATGGGGCCAAGCCGCACATCCGCCAGGAGCTTCTTGGCCAACTCCGTCTGCCGCGCCCGGTCCCAGCGCCGGCAGAAGGCCAACGCCAGCCTTGGCATCGATTTCGGCTCTTCCCGCGGCGGATTTCTTTCTTTTTTCGGCGGCCTCGGTGGGCCAAAGGAAACCCAAAGGATATGGTTTTCACCAACTTCACAAGACATGAGAGAATATATATAACATATATATATATATAGATAAATGTGCGTTTGAACGGTTCATGCAATTTCTACAACATGTCCAACACCTGAAACAAGGCTGTTTCAGGTACAGGACCTACAGCACAAGCACTGGAGAAGACATCATTGGACAAGAAATGAAGGGGCTGAGATTTGCCAACCAGGTAGGCCGCCACCTGCTCTGGCTGCTAAGAAATTGAGCCCCTTGGATTTGCCCGACCAAAGTCTTAATAAACTGGTCTGATAAATCAACTGGATGCAACTAAAAGGCCCATCAACCGAAAAGGCGTCTAAGAAATCGAACCCTGAATTTCTTCACAATGAGCCCCCGGCAAAAGAAAAGGTTGCTAGGACATTCAGCGCTGAATTTCTCAGCAAGCAGGCGCGTCAACCAAAGAGGCCGCCCAAAAAAAAGAAAGAAATAAATTCTTGGCGAAAAGGTCAGTCAACCCTTCAAACGAAAAGGCCATCGCTGAGAGTCAAACCCACAATTTCCTGCAGGGCGGCAGGCAGGTCGATGGGTGTGATACCACTACACCCACCGCTCTTGGCAAACAGGGGCTGGCACGACAAAGCTTTCTTTTGAACGGAGTTTCTTAGCGAATGGGGAATCTTTGGTCTTGGCCTTTTCCCCAAAACTCCAAGAGGGGTGTCAACCAAAGTCATAGAAGTTGACATTAAATTCCTCGCGGCAACATGTGACCTCCCAGCATAGCTGGCAAGCTTTCAACTTCCATCTCCTTCGTCCCGTGGGCCCCTTTGCCAAGCAGCAGGGTACATGGCGTGGTGCTGTGAAACATCCTGGGAAAGCGCAAAACTGCCAGCAAACCGCCCGGTGACCAAACAAAGCTGGCCTTGTGCCAGACTCTCCACTGAAGGTTTGGGCTGATTGCTTGTAAAAATACTGTGGGTGGACAAAATCCTGCCCCGCCTAAGAAACCCTGCAATGAGAATTCGACTGCAATACCAACAAACAATGGCTTCCCGTGGCTTCAAGGTGCTGGACTTCGTCCATCCACAGAATGACTCTGTTATCGCTTGAGCAGTTCAATCTGCAACCCTGGAAGGATGCAAAACAACAACTTCCTGGACCCTCTCGCTTCCGTGTGCCTACATCATCAAACAAACCCGAGCTCAAGCATGAAACCTTGTGAGAAAACGAAGCAGCGGCTTCACCACAACATGCCCATCCTTCTTGGGAAATCCACCTGTGACCCTTCTGCGCAAAAAACGGCAACAAAAGTGTCCTGCGAGGTTCCATTCTTTGATTGCCCCAAGGTAGGCTCGCCAGGGGTTGGTTTCCCCGACCGAACGCCCGGGTTAAGGTCTATTTATTTATACATTTCTATAAATATATTATTGATTGCGAAAATCAAAGAAGCTCACCTTCCGTGACCATAACTGGGCCCATCCAGCCAAAACAATTCTGAGAACTCCCCCTCCCCCTCCACTCCCCCGCCCGGAGACCCCTCCCCCCAACAAAATGTGAGCCATAATCAAAACCCGGTATTAAAATGGCCTGCCCAGAACCCTGTAAAGAATTGAGCGGCGGCCGCAGCTATGGGATTCTCCGTTACTATCCTTCATGTACCCTGGCTCATGCTTACATAGGGAATGTCAAGCCGCTTGCACCGCGCCATCCTCGCTCCCAGTTCCGCCACCCGCTGCCTGCGAGGATCCAAAGAAGGGCCATCTGACCCTCAAACAAAAACTGGGCCTCCCCCCCCAACCCAAAAATATATATTGGGCATTTCCTGTAAAACCACAAACAAAGGGAGTACCCTCAAAAGAAACCCAGTTGCACATTTGCTGACTTGGTCACATCCCCACCATCAACGCGCCCAAAATCGGCGGTCAACGGCGGTTTTTGGCGTTCCAGCCCCTCAGAACCAAAGGGGGTTGCGATACATGCGCTAAGAGGCATGCTTTTTGTGCTGGTTGGGACGCAGTGGCCTGAGCGTGCTTTTTGGAGCGGGAAGTGTGCAGCATAGACGCCAAACAAGTAAGCGGTCGTGCCTTGAACAATGACGGCCGTGCCTTGGAGAATTGCGACCGCGCCCAGAAATTACGGCTGAATCCGGAAAAACACCACACACTTTAGCGGGGTCGCAGGCTGCCTACTTTATGCGACCTCGCCAGGAGGTAAAACGAGCTCGCCATGGTCTCTCACTTGATCATCCCTTCCATGAGGTTATGGAAGTACCCGGCCCGCGCGGGTCAGCCCCGCGGAGCGTCAGCGGACTGCGGCCTCCGCTGCTCCTCGCAGCGCGCTTCCCGGAGCCGGGGCTTGCAGAGGTGGCCGAAGGCCGCCTGCAGCGAGCGCAGGCCCAGGCAGGGGCTGCGCACCTGCCAGACCTCACAGCCGGCCTGCGGGGGGAGGGGGGGTGGCTGAGGTCTACCCAGTTGAAACTAGCATCTGGTTTCTTCAAGTCGTTTTTGCACCACGAAGACTGGCCACCCACCGCAAGGGGCGCTTGGAAGAAACGGCTTCAACTAGCATCTTGTTTTTGGGTTGCACGGCTGGAACGGGGTGCCGCAATGGAGGCCTGAACAACCATGGGAAGTACGCTCTCGCTGAAATCAACACGAGCCTCGTCTCGCTGAAATCAACACGAGCCTCCACAAATGGAGGTTTAACACGAGCAACCTCCACAAATGGAGGTTTGGCCCCATTTTGGGTGAGCCCGAAGTAAGGGAACTTCAATTCTCGGTGGGATTGAAATATTGTTCCCAATTGCATAAATCCACGCATTCCTGTTTCAGTTGCTCGGTTGTCTTCTTTGAAATTGGTGTCTGACTTGCTGACCGGGTGCGTCAAACGTCCAGATTGCGTGTTTGCCACTGAAGTGATTGTCCCGAAACGTGGAAAAGTCCACAACACGGACTTTTAACTTAACTTGCATCACCCCGCGGAAAGTTGCACCATCATGCAGGGCGCTGCGGCAACAAATGCGACTTTGCCCCGAAAGAAGGCGGTGAAATGGGGAAAGATAAGGAGAAAAAGCAAGATAAAGATAAGAGAAAGGCAAAGAGAAAGAGAAAGAGTAAAATAGAGAAAGAAAGAAAGAAAAAAAGAAAGAAAGAAAGAAAGAAAGAAAGAAAGAAAGACATAAAGAAAACAATGAAGAAAGAAAGAAAGAAAGAAAGAAAGAAAGAAAGAAAGAAAGAAAGAAATAAAGAAAGAAAGAAATAAAGAAAATAAATAAATAAAGAAAGAAAACAAAGAACGAAATAAACAGATAACGTGAGAAAATAATGATAAATAAATAGAGAAAGCCAAAGCGACAAAGAAAGAAAAATAAACAGCGAGAGCGAGAGAGAGAGAGAGAGAGGGAGAGAGAGAGAGAGAGAGAGAGAGAAAGAAAGAGACAGCAGGAGAGACTGCAGGAGAGACAGAAGCAGCAGCAGCAGAATGTGCTGGATGCGGTACTGAATGTGGGCATGAGAAACCCGGAAATCCGTGGTTCCCGCCGACCCAACCTTCAGCATCCCCTGCTGTGGCCGTTGGATTGGCAGTTTGGAAGTCTGGTCAGCAACACCGTCAAGCTTGAAACGATAATAGCATGCCCGCGTGCCAAAGGACATTGTCACAAGCCCCGCACACCAAGCGGTACCGTAAGAACCGATGCACTTTCATGAGTCTCAACCTATCCCGACTCATCTGAATTGCTGGAAAATTGGAAATTATCCTCCAAAAACATCTTGACTTACTCTCCTGCAGATAAACCCAGAACCCAGGAAAAAAACAAGTCCATTTGTAGAGGAATCTCCTCTTGGGCCCCCGTTCCGCGATGCAACTCAAGCCCCCCTTTTTGGGCCGCGCGGCCCGGTCGTCCCACTCCAGGAACTCCTGTCAACCGTCATACCATAAGGAAAACCATAAGAGATGGCTCTTGTGATGCCCTCCTGAGTGGATTGTCCACGAAACGTCTAAACTTTTTGAGAGGATGTGGCTTTGGATTTCCAGAATGGTTTGCGACATACGAAAATGGACCCTCAAAGCGGGCTGTTTCCTTTCAGTTTCTATTGAACCAACCTACAGCGCACCCTCAAGGAACAAAGGCCGCCCTAAGAACACGGTCTTCCAAGGACCCCCATGCAGTTTCTACGGGTATTTGGGAGGGTATCTTGGGATTCATCTGCAGGGGTCATACTAATTCGAGGAATTCCCCAAAAAATGGAAGGGGAGCCTTGCCTCATGGGGCCTTCAGACCTCCTCCGACGTGAGCGGAAGGGGTGCTGAAGCAACTGCTCTGAAGGTTGACCGAAGGGACCCAAACAAATCAAGAGTGAGATCTCAGTCATAGGTGTCCTTTTACGGCAAATAGATGGCCCTGGTAGATGATTAAACCACCAGGTAAACCAGTACCAAAACAACAAAAACAACCTATGATCTCAGAGTGTGGCCAACAAATACCGAGACCATAGCAGCAAGTGGTATACGCCATCTGCCGTCTGCAGCTTGGGCCCGGTCGACCAGCATGGATAGCACAACGCTCAACTGGTATTGACCAGTGACCATGGGCACTAATTTTGTTCCTGTCCAAGTGACCTGCACATCCAGCTGCACGGCTGAGAATTTCCCACCGTGATGCCTTGCCAATTGGACAAGACTTCTTCATTTCGGGCCTGGTACCCAAGAAGTTGGACAAATCGCCTCATTTCCGCAGCCATGGGCAGGGTTAGTCACATTTGCCAATGGCCGGAAAAACTACTTCCCTGGTTCCTAGCCTTGAGCTTTCTTTTGACAGCCAATCTCCTCCCCCTATTAATGAATGACCCCCATTAATAATAAATGCAAATCCGGGGCCCGAGACCAGATTTCCACTCCGCACAATTGATTTTCCATTGCGCCAATACTAAACCAATACTAAAGTCTTGGAATCCTTATTAGGGGGCACTTTTAGCAAGCTTCCAGCCTCACTTTTCAAAAGGTGGGTTCCTCAATTCCCCAAAAGGTTGCTTCCCCAAAAGCTGGCTTCTCAAAAGGTTGGCTTCTCAAAATGATACATCAAATTTCCTTGTTAAACCGCTTACTCGCGGACCCTACAATTCAATCCATTTCCTCCAAATCCTATGCGAACCCTCACATTGTTGGAAAAGCAAAAAAACCCAACCCCAAAAACCCCAATTATATATATATATATAAATAGACATATTTTTGGGTGGATTTAGTTATAATAGGGGGGGGGGGCCGTATTTATTAATAGGGGGAAGAGAGTAGGAGCAACAGGGGTCCTTGAGGTTGCATCCAAAAACCACCTGCCGTAGAAGAGCCTTACCAGGGGCATTTATCAGGGGAGCAGTTCCCCACGGCCAGCCTTTGCCCATCTCCCCGAGCCAACTACACCCCACAAATTCAGAGCCCAGAACAAACATACAAACAAAGCCAAAACCACAAAACAACACATGGGTCATCCCAAGTCCTGACCTTTGGATAGTTGGGGATTTGGGGGGGGGAAGGAATTTCCCATTCTTCTGGTTGACCCATCCCCAGTTCGGAGGGTCGGCCGATGGCTCCTCCAGCTGCACCACGTCGTTGCTCACGGCCTTCAGCGCCGGGTGACTCTGCAGCGCCGGCAGCGCAGCATGCAGCGCCCGGCGCCCCGCCTCAGAGCTCGGAGCTCGGAGCGAGCGATTCATCCGGCGGATGCGGTGCAGCGGTCTTCGGCGCGGGGCGTGGGAGGCGGTGGGGGGGGAGGGGGAGGGGAGGGCTGCCCCTGATTGGTTGGTTTGGTGCGATTTGGTGCTTTGGTTTGGTTTTGGGGTTTTGAGGGTACGTTCACCTTACGTCTGATTGGCGCGTTGGTGAACATAGAAAGTACCTTCCCCATTTGGTTTCAAATTTGTGTGGGGTTCAAATCCACAAACCACCCATCCAAACCACATTGTAACCAAAAGCGCTGGTTGACACTAAAATTGTCCTCCCAGAATTTTGCCGCTTCCTCCAAAGGCCTTAAAGCTTCTGATGGCCTTGCTCTGAGAAAAGGAAGGGGCAGGGAGTAGGAGGAAGTTGGATCCTGTGAGTGTAGGAGGTTTCACCCTCATTTCCTGAGTGAATTGGCCAAACAAACTCGCGAAACTGTCGCTCTAATCTGTAAAACTGTCGTCCCACAAAATGTTCGAGCAAATTGTCGTGGGGGTTTGGCTGCCCCAAAAGGACATCCTTCTTCAAATGTTTCTTCTGCGGTTCCGCGTTTCATCTGAGGAGCCAAAAACCACTCTTCTGGTTCATCATCCTCACCGAAATCGCTTTGCTTCAAAGGGGCCATAGCTTCTGTGTTTGGGCCAACTTTGCCTGGAAAAAAAGGAGGGGGGGGGGGGGAATTCTGCTTTTCCAGACCCCCCACAAAGGAAGAACGGAACCGTGGCCCCAGTTCCACTTTTATGGAGGTGGGATGTGCCCCCTCCAATTAGATTTACTGGGATGCCAGGGGTGCCTATGGCGCCTGAAACTTGGAGATGTGCCCACTTGTTGGGCAGCATGAACTTGTTTCAAACGAGACCCTTTGAAGGGAGTCTCGGAATCCTGCTTGATGCGCTCCCCCCCTTGAACAACTAACCCGAAACAGGGTCACCCAAACGAAGTGCCAAAACTAACCCTTGAAATCGGGCACCGTTTTTTGTGGGGAGCCCGCCGAACAAGAAGGGGAATCGAAAGGGCGGCGAACAACTGGGCATAGACTTGGCCGCCGGAAGGAAGCGCTTGCCCGCCTCCACTTGGCCGTGGGGAGCTTTGGAGCCACGGGGTTTACCGTGCTGATGAGCCCCATTTATGAGCCAGAGGCGGCCAAGTGCCTCTGTAGCAAACCGCCCGCGGCTTTTTCGACCATGAAAAGCGGCCAAACCTTCAGCCTGAATCAATCGATAGGTCCCCCTGGTCCACTGGGTGAGACAAAGCCAGTGATTCAAACAGTTGGGAGCAAGGCTGTGGGAAATGGCCACTTCCGTGATACAACAGAAAGGGCTTAAGACCAACCCCCCCCTAGAAAGGCAGAGATTTCCTGGTATCACAGCAGTGGGGATAAACCCCTTGATCCCACAACCCTGGTTGGGAGAAGCTGCCGAAAGCCACACCTTTCGAGCAGTGCCGCGTTGAAGCGCAGAAACGTGCTGCATGGCTAGTCATCTTCGAGGGGCGAATCAAGCATTCCGGAACTCAAACTGTTACAGTAACTCTGCGACATTCAAAAAGCGCCGGGGTGAAAGTATGGCACAAGTCCCCTTATGCGGGCAAGTCTTCGGGGATGACTAAACCCATTTGTGGGAATTGTGCAATCTACTTTCACAACTGCGAGCCCTACTGCACACAGCAGCCACCTTCGCTGCTTTCTTCTTCCGAGCCCGACTCACTTTCGCTGTCCTCGCGTCATGTGGCACAAGTCGGGGGGCCATGCCAAGCTTTGGAATTCGGCTAGGCCATGCCTGGCTCGCACGAACACAACGGAGCTGGCCTTTCGACCTGTACAAATGGGAAACGCTCCCCCGCGACAACATATGAAATGTGGTTTCCTTTGTGGTGTCCCTTTAGCACCACCTCAACAAACACCCGCACAAATGTGCAACCGAAACACTGCTGACTCACAGCCCAGCAGGCCGACTCAGCCCAAGAGGTTGAGCATACCAATGTCAAGCCACTGCGGGTGAACATGGAACCCAACATAGGTACATACCCTATGTCCTTTCCGGCATCCAGTTTGCCCTGACATCCCTGACCATCCGTCCGGTCCTGGACCCAAGCGTCCAGGTCTTTTGGTGGCGGGTACATGGCCTCCAAGTCCCCGATCTGATCCACCACTGGACGGCCATCCACCGGCAGGTTGTTCGGCTGGTACCTCAAAAGCTCAAAGCTTTGGACCCGGGGCCCAAAGCCCTCCCCAGCTTGGCCCATCCTGGGATGCGAATCGCGGGTACTAGGGGCATCCGACAACACTGGCCCCATGGCTTAAACGGGAAAACGCACCCGAAGGTAACTTTGAGGATGACGCAGTTGGAAGAGGATCCAACTCCCCCCACCCGCCCCATAAACCCCGGCTTCCCCAAATGAGCGCAGCAATCGACCTACTTTTTCAGGCATTGTTCAGCTGGGCCAGGGAAGGTCGGATCTTGTGACTATTGGGCCCACGCCTCGTTGGACAAAGGCACCAGCCCGGGAGATATTGCAGGAAGTTTGGGCGTTCGCTGGACGTTCCCGCCCCTGTTTTCTTAGAATCCACCTGATTTTTCAGGCTTGGCCAGAGTCTCAAACTGTCATTTGGCTATCGGACGCAGCCTCAAACACAAGAAATGTTCATTGCCAGGAGGTCCAACCTTGGGCCAAAGAACCCCTCGGCACAAAATGCCCCCCTTTTCCAGCAAGGCCAAAGGTTTCTGAGCTGAGATCAGTTGACAAGGGCGCCCTTCAAAGGATGGCGCAAAGCCCTCCGTTTACCTTGTGGCAAAGGGCTAAGGGGCACTGAAGGCAAGGGGCACCATTGTCACTCGCCGATTTTCGTGCGCCGCATCTCGGATTTTCGCGCGCCTCATCTCGGAGATGTGGCGCACGTAGGGGATGCAAATCTTATGCTCCTTCCCCTCATGCCACTTGACCTCCGCGATGTGGTGGTGGCTCCTAGCTCGCACGCTCACGCGAAAAACCCCTTGAAATGGCAAGGGTTTCCGTGCTCCAATTCCAAGGGTCCAATCATGGGACTGCCCCCTCTGTCCCCCAACCAACCCCATTTCCGAAAAGGGGCCTAGGGCAATACTAGCAGGGCGGGTCAATATTGGCATTCCCGCACACTTTCTTCCTACTGATTTCAAAAAATTGAAACCACTGCCTGGGGTTCAAGATTCTAAGACTTGAAAACCAGTGCGTTTTTTTTCCTCCGGGGAGTTAACAACACATGCAAGCTCCTTTCCATATTGGCTGTGGGCTGTTCAATGGACATCATGAACTTTCGTTCATACCTGGCCGAGTCGCTCGGGCTTTGGAAAAGCGGCGAAGGCCAGCGGGTCGTTGCGGGTGAGATGCACCTTCGCACAAGTCGGGACCAGATGACCAGTTCAGGCAGGCCCCAGTTCAGGGCGATCACCCATATCCCCTGAAACAGGGAGGGTCCTGCTGCTTCCCCTCCAAATCCATTTTGAGACACGGCCAAACCAGGCGATCCGTTGAGAGCACCCTTTGTAGGGTTATCCCCCAAAAGCAAGGGAATCCGGGCCGAGCAATTGGAGGCACATCCGCATCTCACTTTCAACCCAATGATCGCCGTGCTCAACTCTGCTAATTCTATGAACATCCCTTCCAGGGTGGTTTCGTTTTGGACCCCGTGTGCGTAAAACATCGTAAAACATGATATGAGGACAACGAACCACGGTCGAACATATGCATTCCCATGTGCTCCATGACTGCAGTGCGGGGAAGACCCTGCTATCTTTGAACAGGGCGTCTGGAAACATAACTCAAGGGTTGATTTCCCAATAACCTGTTCATCCACCATAATCCGTGGTGATTTGTGGGAGGGGTTTGAGGCTAGGGGCAGTTGAGTTCACTTGCTTTTCAGCCATCCTTCTGTTAAAACATGCGCTCCGCTTGTCTGGTGCCGCGGGGGCTCTGCGGGGAAGACTCAGATCGGGGCCCATGAAAGGGCGGGGATATGCGGGGATCCTTAGATTATACACCTGAACATTGCCTTGTACGTGGTGGTGTCCCTTTATTTTGGTGGAAAAAGCCATGTTTCAAATGGACAACATGTATCTTTTAAGGAGCCCTGAGGGGTACAGTCTACCCGATAGGGGAACATGGAAATGATCGGAGTTGCCAGATCGGAATCCTAAACCTTGCCAGGTCCACCCGCCTGGGGCGGGGCCAACCGCCAGGTGAAAAACCACTTGGATTTGCAATTCTCTGCAGTTTTGCCAGGAAAGCCAGCAAGAGTGCGGGTCCCTTTTTTGTGAGCCCCTTTTTCGTTTCGAAGGGATACCTACCAAAAAGGAAACCATCCATTTCATTTTGTTTTAACGTTTTGCACCCAGAAAAGTGGTCATCCCCAATGTCCACCAATTCCCTTGCTCAAATTCACAATTTTGGGGGTTTTCAGCGGACCCCGTTTTTGGCTTCCCTTTAAAACCCAAGAAAAAGGGGCCAAACTTTGAGACACCAAGGCGTCCAATCCCGGTTGCCGCCTCGAAGTTGGGGCGAAATGGCCCCACCAGCTGCTTCCATTTCCCCACCGCCACGGGCCCCGGGCAGTTCCACACCGCGCCAGGGGCGTCGCAATAACTGGCCGCCGCCTCCGCGATGAAGCCCCCCAATGAGTGGCCCGTCACATAGACGTCGTAGTCCTTAGAGGGGATGCCGAAACTTGGATCAAGCCCTGGCCCTGGACTACTGAGGCTTGTGGAAGGTAAAATGGTCAAAGAAAGCAAACTTCTGTGGTGTTGGTGATGGGACGCTGAACAAAATACCTCATTTTCGCTGCTGCCGAGAAGGGGCAATAAAGGATTCCCAAACTTGGGTCTTGGTGAGTTCCCTTGCAAAAATAATGAGGCATCAACAATACTTATCAGTCCTCAAAAACTAACTTGTCGGCATGGCTGCTTGCTGCTTTGTTTATTTTGGGGCTGAT